TGCGAGTCTGTGAGCAAAATGGTGTTTTCCTACTTGTGTGAGATGCACCCCATCCCATGCCAGTAGGCCATCCTCCTGGAAAAGCAGGCCATGGTCGAGGAAGCCAAAGCGTGCCTCCTGACACCATTTTCTAAGCGAGTTATTGACCTGTACTATTTTTCTGGCCCTTGTAGGACCGTAAGAATCCCGTAAGTTTATTAAACAGTGTGCAGGAAGAAGGTCAAAGTAACAATTATACTCTACTGAGAAGTTGATTAGGTATACTCTGCTATTAATGGACTCTACTGTCTTTGTTTGCTGCTGTAACATTTGTTTGTCCAGTGTGCAGCATTTCAGGGAGCTTGTGATTGGAAAACTATAAGTCACTTACCAGCATCCCGGACACTATCGACACAGACTTGAAGCCAGAAGAACTAAAGGAAAGAGTGTTCTCCAGCCCAGGCCAGTATCATTCATCATTCAGGAAGCTCTCGGTAACTTATCCCGTTGTTCCAAAGATAAATTTTAGATTTCAGAATTTAAGAATTTTAGGCTCTTTTCCATCTCAGTGAAAGATTCCTGTTCAACCACCAGCACCAATACTGTTATTTACCCAAATGCTACCAATGTGCAGTGATTCGTGAAACAGAAGATAACAGCTTTCTGTCCCCTTTGAAAATCTGACATAAGAAAAACAATAGAAGTGGGGAGGGGGGAATCAGCAAGGGAATTTTCTCTGAATTTAAGATTTACAACTCACCCCAGCCTCCTAAAGCATCTTCTAAATGTATAGGGTTTTGTAACAACTACACAGCTGATTTGCTTGGATACAATAGCATGAATCATAACATGGCCCAGTGGTGTTCATGCCACATGTGTTGTAGCTGTTCCCTGGGGCCAGAACAGCTGCAAAGAAGGCAGCTGGCTTCTCATCCAGAAGGTTTCACTGGTCGTGGAGAAGATGATGTGAAGCAGAAAGAACATTCAGTGAGTAATTTCCCAGGTTCAGCTTGCTGGCGTTAAAGCAAAAACTTGTTTTGACTTGTGGGCTGAGCAGGTAGGATGAAGGTGTGGGGAGTAAAGGTATGGGGAGGTTGTCATGGATCTCTCCAGCAGAACATCTGATGTGCTAGATAGAAGTTTGAACAGCTGACCAGTCCACTCCATTCTGCACATAGTATCTATCTTCCTTAAAGGTATATAAAATATGTTGTCAAAGGCTTTCATGGCTGGAATCAGTGGGTTGCTGTAAGTTTTTTAGGCTGTATGTGCCAGCAGTATTCTCTTCTGATGATGTTTGGCCTGCATCTGTGGCTAATGGCATTTTCATAGGTCTGTTGGCAGTGAAGAGAGTGGAGTGCAGGCCCGTAGCCAGGATTTCGTTTCGGGGGTGGGGGCTGAATTTTTTTTCAGGGGGGGTTTCGGGGGGGGGGGGCTGAGTCTGAGTGAAAGAGGGTCTAGCCTAGCAAACCTTTTGTATCATTACCCCATGCATATGGGATATATTGAGTATGGTGATCAGATCATGATATGAATAAACATAACAGTTTAAATAATGCACCATTAAGGCCTTTTCGCAAACCACCATGAAAATTTCAGGGGGGGGGGCTGAAGCCCCCCAAGCCCCCCCCCCCCCCCCCCGGCTACATGCCTGAGTGTATATATTATACCTGTGAAATAAAGTCCAGGGTGGGAGAAAGGACTCTTGCCTCTTTGAAGAAAGTGTGGATGTTGCAATTAGCAAGCTTGAATTAGCATTTGAGTAGCCATGTAGCTGCAAAGTGAACAAGTGAGGGTATTTGTTTTTAGATGCTTTCTAAGCTGGTTGATAAGTAACTTTTTTGCAAGTTATCTGGATAGAGATGGACAAAAGGGCCAATTCTGTCATGTGATGGCATTCGTCATACTCAGGTTTAAAATGATACGGGTTCACAACTTGTGGGAGGGGCTGAAATGCCCCTTTGAGAAATGGTAATGCCCTATTACCTTCAATCAAAGCACCTTCAACAGATGGCCATCCTGTCTCTGAATCATCATCATCATCATCATCATCATCATCATCATCATCATCATCATCATCATGAAAATATGTTCCTAGTTTGCAAGTGTTGATTTCCTGTTTATTTGTGGAGTCCTTACTTTGAAAGTAGTAGTGTACTTCAGAAACTTTATTTTTGTGCCCACAAACTACGTTAAATGGGTGGAGACTCTACGGGATATTCAGTAATTGAGAAACTAGAGCAAAATGTGCTCGAGCAGGATGATGTCCCTCCTGCAAAGACAAATTTTGTGCAGTTTCATCAACTTTTTCCATGTGTTTATGATAGAACTACTTAGGTAATCCCATTGATAACCCAGGATCAAAAATCATAGTCAATTAGGAGAGGAGGGGTTTCTTTCCACAAAGAAAATGGGGGAGGAAGAGTGGGTGGGCAACTCTCTACAACAGTGGTTCTCAACCTGGGGTCCCTAGATGTTTTTGGCCCTCAACTCCCAGAAATCTTAACAGCTGGTAAACTGGCTGGGATTTCTGGGAGTTGTAGGCGAAAAACATCTGGGGACCCCAGGTTGAGAACCACTGCTCTACAATGTGATGGCAAACAGAGAACTCCTGAATAAAGCGGATAGTTTGCTAGTGTGTGGCGGAGGTCAGAAACCATCCATTTAATTTCAAAGCGGAGTATGCCTGTGCTGTGTGGTAAACCTATTCTTCCAAAGACTTGACATGTTCAGTGGGATGAAGTCTTGGGTCTTCATCTACGGGGGGGGGGGGGGGGGGGGGGGGGAGTATTTAGTCAGACACCAATTGTACAAGATCTCCCACTTAAAAAGATGAGAGAGGCCTGTAATTGACATCATAGGTGGACCTCAACTATGAGAGACAACATGAGAAAACACATCCAGAAAATCACATTGTCTGATTTGTATCGAATTTATTTGAAAACTATGGTGGAAAATAAGTATTTGGTCACCTACAAACAAGCAAGATTTCTGGGTCTCACAGCCCTGTAGCTTCTTCTTTGAGAGGCTCCTCTGTCCTCCACTCTTTACCTGTAGTAATGGCACCTATTTGAACTTGTTCTCAGTATAAAAGACTCCTGTCCACTATAGTGAAGGCCAAAGAGCTGTCGAAGGACACCAGAAACAAAATTGTCGCCCTGCACCAGACTGGGAAGCCTGAATCTGCAATAGGCAAACAGCTTGGTGTGAAGAAATCAACTGTGGGAGCAATAATTAGAAAATGGAAGAGATACAAGACTAATGATAATCTCCCTTGATCTGGGGCTCCATGCAATATCTCACCCCGTGGGGTCAAAGGGATCACAAGAACAGTGAGCAAAAATCCCAGAACCACACGGGGGAACCTAGTGAATGACCTGCAGAGAGCTGGGACCAACGTAACAAAGGCTACCATCAGTGACACACTATGCCGCCAGGGACTCAGATCCTGCAATGCCAGACGTGTTCCCCTGCTTAAGCTACTGCATGTCTGCGGCCTATTGAGGTTTGCTAGAGAGCATTTGGATGATCCAGAAGAGTATGGGAGAATGTCATATGGTCAGATGAAACCAAAGTTGAACTGTTTGGCAGAAACACAACTCATCGTGTTTGGAGGAGAAAGAATGCTGAGTTGCATCCAAAGAACACCATACCTACTGTGAAGCAGGGGGGTGGCAACATCATGCTTTGGGGCTGTTTCTCTGCAAAGGGACCAGGGTGACTGATCCGTATGCATGAAAGAATGAATGGGGCCATGTATCATGAGATTTTGAGTGCAAACCTCCTTCCATCAGCAAGGGCACTGAAGATGAAACGTGGCTGGGTCTTTCAGCATGGCAATGATCCCAAGCACACCACCAGAAGGAGTGGCTTCGTAAGAAGCATTTCAAGGTCCTGGAGTGGCCTAGCCAGTCTCCAGATCTCAACCCTATAGAAAACCTTTGGAGGAAGTTGAAAGTCCGTGTTGCCCAGCGACAGCCCCAAAACATCACATCAGGAGATCTGTATGGAGGAATGGGCCAACATACTAGCAACAGTGTGTGCCAACCTTGTGAGGTCTTACAGAAAATGTTTGACCTCTGTCATTGCAAATAAAGGATATACAACAAAGTATTGAGATGAACTTTTGTTATGGACCAAGTACTCATTTACCACCATAATAATCTATCTTCTATATATATATAAATGCTCTGTGCATAATGAGTACCTTAAAAACAAAAGAACCAATTAATGAAATAACACCAAATTTGGCAATAAAATGTCTCACAACACAAGGAGTGACCATCACTCCAAAAATTATGATTTTGTCATTTGGGAGTTGTAGTTTCTGGGATTTATAGTTCACATACAATCAAAGAGCATTCTGAACTCCATCAACGATGGAATTGAACCAAATTTGGCACACAGAACTCCCTTGACCAACAGAAAATACTGGAAGGGTTTGGTGGGCATTGATCTTGAGTCTGGGAGTTGTAGTTCACCTATATCCAGAGAGCACTGTGGACTCAAACAATAATGGATCTGGACCAAACTTGGCACAAGCACTCAATACACCCAAATATGAACACAGATGGAGTTTGGGGGAAATATACCTTGACATCTAGGAGTTGTAGTCACTGGGATTCACAGTTCACCTACAACCAAAGAGCATTCTGAACGCCACGAACAACAGAATTGGGGAAAACTTCCCACACAGAACTCCCATGAACAACAGAAAATACTTAAGGCCATTCAATCCAATTCCCTTCATCAGGGCAAGAAAACATAATCAAAGTCCTCCTGACAAAGAGCTATCCAGCCATAGATATAGATAGATAGATAGATAGATAGATAGATAGATAGATAGATAGATAGATGATAGATAGATAGATAGGGAGTTGTAGTTGCTGGGATTTATAGTTCACCTACAATCAAATAGCATGATAGAATTTGTGCAACTGGTATCTGACTAAATACTTTCCTCCCCCCCACGGTATCAGCCCCTTGCATTCATTAAATGTTGCTCTTTGTTCCTCCCCTAGGTGGCAGCACAAGCTTGCTTGTACCCATGCCAGTGTTCCACGCAGACACTCCAGTGTCCTGCTGGCACCAGTTTGCTGCTGGACGGCTGCGGATGCTGCAAAGTATGTGCCAGGCAGCTTGGCGAGCTTTGCTCTTTGCAGAAGCCTTGTGATCACCATAAGGGTCTCTACTGCGACTTTTCCAAAATCCATAGAGACAATGGCATTTGCTTAGGTGAGCTGCTTTCATAGTGTTTCTCTGCCATAGAAGACCTTTGTCATTTGTTATTTTCTAAGAGATGTAACATTTTTATTTACAAGGGCATCAGTTTTGATTGAAGATTAAGAAAAATATTTTCCCAGGAAATGGAATTCAGCAGTACATACAGGACTTCACCCTTTCATTTCAAACATCACATTTTGTTAAAACTTTTGTAAAACATGTCATGTAACCTTTCATATTTTGTGGCTATTGTTAGACAAATATGGATAACTGTATTTATTAATGGAAAACATAAACTGATTTATCATTCCACAGAAGTGCTAGAACAAAGAAAATACCGCTAGTGCTCTCCCAGGAAAAAAGAATTCAATAGTGCAAAAATCAAGATTTGGGAATCTAAAATCAAGATTTGGAAATGCTTTTCTTTGCTTGACTATGCCATGTTTGACTTATTTTAAAATAAGAACTAATGACTTATTTAGGGCCCTTCCACACAGCTGTATAACCCAGGGTGCTTCCACACAGCCCTTTATCCCAGAAGCATCCATGTTTAAAAAACATGGATGTTCCTGGACCCCTATCCACACACACCCCAGAAAGTGTGTGCTTTCTGGGGTGGGTATCCAGATGTTCTTCCAGGAATGGCCTGGGAGATCACCTAGAGCAGGGGTCCTCAAACTATGGCCCGGGGGCCGGATACGGCCCTCCAAGGTCATTTACTCAGCCCTCGCTCAGGGTCAACCTAAGTCTGAAACGACTTGAAAGCATACAACAACAACAATCCTATCGCATCAGCCAACACTTCCCATTGAAATACTAATAAATTTATATTTGCTAAAATTGTTCTTCATTTAAATTATTGTATTGTTTTAAAATGTTTTTTGAACTACAAATAAGATATGTGCAGTGTGCATAGGAATTCATTCATGTTTTTTTCAAATTATAATCCGGCCCTCCAACAGTTTGAGGGACTGTGACCTGGCCCTCTGTTTAAAAAGTTTGAGGACCCCTGACCTAAAGACTCAACCCCCCTCCCCCAAAACCCTAACCCCCCTTTTAAAAGTAAGGAAAACTTACCTGGCCTGCAGTAGAGTGTTGCCAGAGCTCTCCCAGCACGTAGAAATGACAATTTCCCCTGAAGCAAATATATGGTTCCAAAGTACTTACAAAACTGGGGCCCCCTGGAGCTTTGTTTCTAAAATGTTTCTAAAGTATACTTAATAAAAAAACTTGTTACTAAAATGAGACTAATAAAATTTCATTACTATTTCGTTACAGTAATTGCGCATGCGCATTAATGCAATAATTACTATTAATGGGGAAACTCCTATCCCCCTCATTTTAAAGTTATTGGGATGAAACTTGCTTCAATGGTAGAACACATTTACCACTTTTAAGTCACCAAATTTCAGAATGTTTCACTTATCCGTGGATTTTGGCAAATTTTCAAAGTTTTTATAAACAACATTTTTTCAAAAAACTACAAGAGCTGTCTACTTGACTTTTATTTACAATGCACAAGATAACCAGGGCATCAATCCTCAGAAGTTTTAGAAAGATTCACACATGTACAGATGTTTGGGGATTTTGAAAAGTTTAGACCAAAACAATTTATCTCCCCAAAAGTGACAACAGCAATCCCCTTGAATTGTGTCTTTATGCACACAACCGCAGAACTTTTATTTATTATTAGACTGACTCTAAACCACTGGCTGGCTACCCCCACAGTGCCTTCCTTATGGCAATGGTCCAAAATAAATGGAATGGTTTTCAAAGCACTTCATGTTCTCTTGGCTTTGCCAAAGTGGCTGCAGGCAGCTATCATTTGGGTCCTTCAGCCCTGATTTGGGTCCTGAGCATCATTGCATTCTGGGAAATGTAGTTTATGGCAGGGCCTTTTACAGTCTGCCACCGGGGGTCAAGCTTTCCAAAACTACATTTTAGATGGCTGTGTCCTCAATCTCCATTAACTTTAGTCCCACTCACAGCACCTTCCTTATGGTGAGAATGGGGCATAACTCCAAATCAAAAGAATTGGTTTTTTTAAACACTTGGCTTCTTAATGGTTATACTGAAAATTAAACTGACCTTGGAAGACATCTGAATGTTACAGAACATTAACAAAAAATATTGGTGAAAGTTTAATTTTTTTAATGTATGGAATATTATTTTTTAATAATAATAATAAAAATTAGTATTTTTAAATTGGTATGGAATATGTGCAATTTGACTATGGATTGGCCTTTAGACTATGACTTTGGATGACATGATTCATTGAAATGTATTTTTATTATGCTTATTATGCTTTAATGTTTAACTTATGTTTTAACTGATATTGTATGTTTTAATGCACTGTGGAGGTGCAATTGTAAGCCGCCTTGAGCGCCCCTCAGGCTAGAGAAAGGCAGGATATAAATAAGGTAAATAAATAAATAAATAAATAAACCACCTTTCCTATAAATTCAAATATCGCTTTGTATGCACGAATTTTATGATTTTTTAATGAAATACGATTTTAAAATGAAATTATGCACAAGCCTAATATATATATGTATATATTGCCTAGGATAGAAAAAATGTATAAAGGTTATTTCATTATAACTGAATCGGTAACATGCTATTAGTACTCTTGTGTTGAAAATGTTGCGATTTTGAGTATTTAAATGCATTTAAAATGCTCAATGTCTACTTCAAGTATCAGACTTATAATTTAAAAAAGAGTGAAATAAAAAAATGATGGTACCAGTTTCCAAGTAGATGGTGTTAAATTGGCTGTTGTGGCCATTTCCCTTACTAGAAGAACTGTTGTTGTTGTTGTTATTATTATTATTATTATCGTCATCATTATATGTATTTATTTATATCCCACTTTATGTCTCCCGAAGGGGACTCAAAGTGGCTTAATATAAAAGCATTAGCACCATTTAAAATATACAAATAAGCAAACATTAAAATGGAATTAAATTTAAACAGTATTTTAAAAATTCACAGTTTATTTATTTATTTATTTACAGTATTTATATTCCACCCTTCTCACCCTGCAGGGGACTCAGGGCGGATTACAGTGTACACATATATGGCAAACATTCAATGCCAATTTGACATACAACCTATACAGACATAAACAGAGGCTGTTTAACTTTTTCTGGCCGCCAGGGGAGCTGTCACTTTCATTGTCCATCTGCGACACTGATGAAGTACTTCCACATTCCCCGCTGGAGTGCTTTGCTGGAGTCTTTTTTTTATGGCCTCATAAATTAGTTAATTTAGCCTCCCCACACAAGGTGGTACCTAATTTTCCTACTTGACAGATGCAACTGTCTTTCGGGTTGCAAAGGTCGACAACAGGCTACACAATTGGTTGGAAGCCCACTCCAACCTGGGCTGGCTTCAAACTCATGACCTTTTGGTCAGAGTGATCTTAATGCAGCTGACACTCAGCCAGCTGCGCCACAATTTAAAAACCATTCAAACATATTCAGTGCATATTCAAAGTTAAAAACCACTGTTCTGAGCAGAAGCTGGACTTCCATGTATCAGGGGCCTGTACTGGTGTAAGTAGGAAGCTGCAACTGGTAGCTTACAAGGACCTTTCCACCCATTTGTGGCTGGCAGTGGGACATTGGTGGGACAATAGATCTATCAAAGGTCCATTCCCCCAAACTTTATTTCACACATATCATATAGACATTAGGGGTGTGCAATTTTTTTTGTTAGCTGTCATAATTTGTTTAATTTTTTGTTAGCTATCAAATTCATTTAATTCATACTTACGAGGTGATATCCAACACGTGGGCCCACACCAGAAACTTAAGAATCAAAACTCACCCAATACATTTTGTCTTTGTAAACCTTGGAAGCCTCCCAAAGTCAGTTTGATGTTCAACGCAAGGAAGCAAAGCAAAGCCAAAAAGGCTGCTTTTCCTCTATAAATTAATGGAAGTAGCAGGGAGAAAGCAGAGTTTGCTGGAAAAGAGACCAAGAAAGCACAGAATTTGGGAAATGTTGTCTGGAAAGGCGAGGAGCCCTATGCTAAAGAATGCCAGGCCCTGCCCTGAACTACATTTCCCAGAATTCTGCTCAGCCTCAGAAAGGAGCAGGAGAGGTGTGTCCCTCTGTCACAGCAGTCAGTCAGAGTTCCAATAAATGGTTTAATCTGTAAATAGGGGGACTGGCTGAGACTTCCAGTAAGTAAATCTCTGTGCTGGGCTGGGAAGAAATCTCTAAATGGCACGTTTATTGGTTAATAGGAGAGAGAGACTTTGAATGAGATAGCTGTTCTTGCTTTAAAAAAGGTTTTGTGAAATCAGTAGATGTATGAATCTGTCAGGATCCTGTTTCCAGGCCCTTGGTTTTGGCGCTGAAAACCAGGGTCCTGACGTCAGGCCCTGATAAGGAATCTGCAGCTGGCGGCCTTGGAAGAAGACTGTTGGCTGTTGGCGGGAACATTGCGCAGGGTTTTGGCTTGGCGGGAACTGTTATTTCAAATGTGGGTGTGGGTGTATATAAGGAGTGACCAGCCACTGCTGGTCAATCTCAGCTTTCTGTATGTTCATGTGTCCAGTAGTAAAATTCTTTGCTGATAACGGATGGAGGTCCTGTGTTGTGTTTGGGAACATCTACTGTGAGCTGACATTTAAGCTGAGATTCCTTGCACCATCCCACGTTCGCGGTGAGGTGCCACTATGGATGAGGATGAAGTCCCACCGGAGGAGGAGAACCCCCTCCTTGGAGCGGTGGGAGATGAACAGGGCTCGCCTTTCGGGGAGGCAGAGGCAGAGCTGGAAAGAGTGACGGCCTTAGCATCGTCGATTGCTTACGCTTGGCCCAACGGGGTGACCCAGAGGCGAGTGAAAGGCCCGAGAGAGGCCATGAGAGGAAGCAGCGACCTGGAGTTCCCCTCTCCCCAGAGGATGGAATATCTGGAAGAGAGGGTAGCAGCTATGGAGACCACCCTGGCTATGATGTCGAGGCTAATGGAGCGCCTGGCCCCTCTGGTGGAGGAACCACGGACCCAAGCGGAGTCACTGTGGAGCATGGGTGAGAGGAGTGAACGGGAACCCGGAGCACGCCCCAAGGCCCAGACGAGCTGGGGCCGAGGGGCAGAGAGCGACAAGGAAGAAGGAGGGCCGCGGGGAGCCACAGCCACCCACCAAACTACACCCCTGGTGCACCTGGCCGGAGCCGGGCGTGGCACATTTATAGAACCTTCTGAATCCCCCTTGGGAGCCCTGTACTGTTCAGACGAAAGAAGGACGGCTCCCTGAGGCTGTGCGTAGACTATAGGGGGCTAAACACCGTGAGCACAACCACCAGCTACCCTTTGCCCCTAACCAAGGATTTGCTATTGAGGCTGTCAGAAGGCAGGGTGTTCACAAAACTGGACCTGGTGGAGGCTTACCACAAGTTGCGAATTAAGCCAGAGGACAGATGGAAGACTGCTTTCTCCTGCGCCCTGGGGTTATTCAACTACTGTGTCTGCCCATACGGGTTAAGGGGGGCCGGGGGAGCATTTATGCAGATGATCAATGAGGTACTGCACCCGTTATTGTATCGTGGGGTGTACTGCTTTGTAGACGATGTAATCATATTCAGCCGAAATATGTCTGACCATATCCAACTGGTGAGGGCGGTGCTCCAGAGGTTGAGGGAGGCAAAACTGTTTGCCAAACTGCCCAAGTGTGAGTTCAACAAGGAACAGAAAGATTTCCTAGGGTATAGGATTTCACATAAGGGTGTCTCGATGGACCCTACGAAAGTAGATGATGTGAAAAATTGGGAGCCCCCAACAACGCGCAAGCAGTTGCAATCCTTCCTGGGATTTGCAAACTTTTATAGATCGCTCATCAAAGACTTTGCCCAACTCACTCTGCCCCTCACTGAGTTGTTGAAGACCAAGGGGAGGGGAGAGACGACCATGGTGCGGTCCCCAGGGGCAAGGTTAGTCTGGTCGGCATAATGCCAAGAGGCTTTTGAGAAACTAAAGCATAGATTTATAGAAGAGCCAATCCTGACCCATCCTGATACGGCCAAACAATTCATAGTCCACTGCGACGCCTGAGACTGGGCGTACGGAGCAGTGTTGATGCAGAGGGATTCAAGAGGCACGTTGAAGCCATGTGGGTTCTTATCAAAAAAATTCACTGAAACAGAGAAATTGGCCGATTTGGGAGAAGGAGGCGCTAGCTATATTAAAGGCCTTAGAGTGTTGGAGGCACCTATTGGAGGGGAGCGGTGTGCCTTTCGAGGTGTGGACCAACCATAAAAACTTACAATACATCACTTCACCCCGGAAGTTGTCAGCTAAACAGATAAAGTGGGCTCAGTATTTCAGTAGGTTCAATTTCAAGCTCAAATTCTTCAAGGGGAAGGAAAATGTCTTAGCGGATACGCTCTCCTGTATGCCGCAACATGAGGGGGGAGAGAAAAGCCCGAGCGGGTGTCTTATCTCAGAACGGGGCATGACAGTGCTGACCCGGGCACAAGCAGAGCGCAGCCAGAAACTCACTGGAATAGCAGGTGAAGGGAGTGAAGGATGGGAGGAGGAGCTGAAGCAGGCATACCAAGGAGATGAATGGCTCAAAGGAAACAAGGAATGAGTGGAGTGGAAGGACGGATTGGGGTTCGTGAACAGGAAATTGTATATCCCCGGGAGCTTGCGGGGGAAGATAATGGCAAGGTGTCACGATAATAAAGGCGCAGGCCATTTGGGAGTCACAAAAACAACGAAGCTACTGGCACGGCAATGCTGGTGGCCAGGGATGAGGGGCGACACCAAAACATACATATCTCAGTGCGACACATGCGCCAGGAACAAGGTCCCTACACAGAAACCCACAGGGCTGTTACAAAAGGTGGCGAACCCCTCGAGGCCGTGGAGTTCTATTGCCATTGACTTTGTGGGCGAACTCCCGGTCAGCAGAGGCCAGCGCTATATCTGGACAGTCCTGGACTTGTTTTCTAAACAGGCACACTTCATTGCACTGCCCAAACTCCCATCCGCAGAGAAACTGGCGGAGCTGTTCATAAAGCACGTCTATCGCTTGCATGGGTGTCCAAATCAAGTCATAAGTGACAGGGGGGTCCAATTCACTGCGAGATTTTGGGGGAAGTTCATGCAGTTATTAGGAGCTGAGAGGAATTTAAGCTCAGCTTTCCACCCTATGACGAACGGGGGAGTCGAATGCACACAGCAAACGTTGGGGCTCTTCCTAAGGGCATACACAAACCATCGCCAGTCCGATTGGGTGGATCTCCTCCCATACGCAGCGGTAGCATATAACGGAGCTCCTCACGTGGCGACCGGAAGGTCCCCATTCGAGGTGGTTTATGGCCAGGATGTAGCCCCGTTGCCAAGGCTGCCCGACTGGGGCAAGGGAGAACACGTGGATAGTGAGGAATGGGTGACCAAGGCAAAGTCCAGCTGGGAGGAAGTGGTAAAGTCGCTGCGAGAAGCCCAGAGAAGAAATAAACTATTCGCCGACCGGAAGCAGAGGGACGGGGATAAACTGGAGGAAGGCGAGTTAGTTTGGTTATCCACAAAAAACATTAAACTGGACGCCCCATCCAGAAAATTGTCCCCACGTTACATAGGTCCGTTTAGAATCTCTAATAAAATCAATGAGGTCACGTACAAGTTACGGCTGCCTAAGGATTTGGGTAAAGTACACCCTGTATTTCACTGTAGCCTGTTGAAAAAGTATCAGGGACCGCTCGATAAAGAAGGACTATAGACATGTTTGACGTTTCCGTTCAAGGAAGAAGAGGAGGAGGACACCATGTCAGGATCCTGTTTCCAGGCCCTTGGTTTTGGTGCAGAAAACCAGGGTCCTGACGTCAGGCCCTGATAAGGAATCTGTATGTTCATGTGTCCAGTAGTAAAGTTCTTTGCTGATAACGGATGGAGGTCCTGTGTCGTCTTTGGGAACATCTACTGTGAGCTGACATGAATCTCTCTGAAAGTTATCTTATGTCATTGCATAGAAAATTGAAAGAGATAGCCCTTGTATTTTTTTAAAATGTTGTTTATAAAAACTTTGAAAAATTCCCAAAAATCCGCGGATAAGTGAAATGTTCTGAGATTTGATGGGCTAGCAGTGGTCAATGTGTTCTACCATTGTAGCAAGTTTCGCCCCAATAGCTGCAAAAATGAGGGAGGAAGGAGCCCCTGAAGTTTTCCCACTTGTGCAATTACTAGAATGGAAAAGTAACTCTTGTTATAGTAAATAAATTTTCATGAACAACACTTTAGAAACACTTTAGAAATGAAACACCGGCAACCCCTAATTTTGTAATGAGTTTTGAAACAATTTTTTCATCCATTGCACATGCCTAATAGACACTGGTGGGCAGCAGTGGAATCCTTGCTCACATGGACTTTCTCTCTCTCAGCTCATGAAGGAGCAACGTGTGACTTGATGGGGAAGATCTACTTTAATGGGGAGAACTTCCAGCCCAGCTGTAAGCTGCAATGCAACTGTATGGATGGGGCTATTGGCTGTATCCCCCTTTGCACAGATGGAGCCCGGCTCTCTCCCATTGACTGCCCTCTCCCTTACCAGGTGAAGGTGCAGAGCAAGTGCTGCGAAGAGTGGCTCTGTGAATGGGGCAACTGGAAGAACCACAAGGGAAAGGATACCACAGGTGAGAAGGCCTGTATTTGGTAACAAATACTTTACAAGTCATAGGAAGGATACAAGTTGCAGGTGTGAGGTCTTTAAGGTGCTGTTGTTTTTACTGTGATTTTTAATTTGTCTTTATCTCAGTCCATTATTCCATCTTATTTGAAGGCCTCCATCATTGCTCTGTTAGCAAAGAAGTTCCGTATTGATTATTTTTGAGACAACAGACCAGTGGCACTGGTCGGCCGTTCTTGTGGGGCAGGGACAACAATCCGGTTCTTAATATCAACAAGTCCAAGGAGCTCATAGTGGACTATAGGAAGAACAGAGCAGAAATCCAGCCCTTGGTCATAAGTGGAGTACAAAGTGGAGCAGGAGGCCAGTTTCAGGTTCCTCGTGTCACTGTGAAGGAGGATCTGACCTGGGGCAGTGTTAGTTAAGAAAGTCCAGCAGAGTTTGTAGAATTATCTGAGACTTTTAAGGAACCAACAACTGAATGAAAAACTGCTGGTGACTTTCCTCTTCTGTGCTCTAGAGAGTGTCCTAACCTACTGCATCTGCACATGGCTTGTTAACTGCACAGTGGCAGATAGGAAGGCGCTCTAAAGAGTCACCATGACTGCATAGAGAAGTGGTTCTCAACCTGTGGGTCCCCAGATGTTTTGGCTTTTAACTCCCATAAATCCTAACAGCTGGTAAACTGGTCGGGATTTCTGGGAGTTGAAGGCCAAAACTCCTGGGGAGCCACAGGTTGAGAACCACTGGCATAGAGAATCATGGTTGCCCTCTTTCTCCCCTCTTTGGAAGAACTGTATAATTTCCGCTGCCTCAAGAAAGCTCAGAATATTCTATCTTACATGGCATAATCTTTAAAAAAAATGTTACCATCTAGCATTTAATTTTGTTGGACATAGAATAAAGTTATTCAATGAATAAGCAGAAAGTGTCTAATATCCTGAATAACATTCATTCTTTAGCTGAGGCAACATAAACAGGATCAGAATATGTTTGCATATTTGTATATTTTAAATGGTTATGCTGATGCTTTTATGTTAAGCTGCTTTGAGTCCCCTTTGGGGGAGATAAAGCGGGATATAAATAAATAGCACAATCATCATCATCATCATCATCGTCATCATCATCATATGCTAATCACATTAGTTCTGTTATGGCTTTGATCACATGTGGGGAATCAGGATTCAGGATCACACAGATAACTAACTACCACGTGAACAGGAGAAAAGCTGGAAAGTCACCACTTCTCCAAGGTAGTTCTTTCCTTGCCTTACCCTGGCAAGGAAAGACAAGGCAGCAAAGGTCCTTTTCCCCTTCAGTTTTGCTGATGGAAACCTCTCTTTCGGTTTCAGTTTACAGGAACAAACCTGCGCACAAGGGCAAAGCCAAGAGCAAGGCCCATCGTAAGGTGAGCAGCCTCCAAAAGAACTGCTTGGTGCAAACCACCCAATGGAGCGCCTGTTCCAAGACGTGTGGGATGGGAATCTCAACCAGGGTCACAAACAACAACTCGCAGTGCCGCCTGGAAAAGGAGAGCAGGCTGTGCATGATCCGATTCTGCAACATCCCCTTGGAGAAGAGCATCAAGGTATTGATATAGAATCTAGACCGCAATACTTTGAGGATTCTGTCTGGCAAGGAATGCTAACAATTAATAACCAAAGTTCCAGATTAAAATTAACTCAACAAAGCAGCCAAAGACTTTTTATTGTTAAAAGTAAAGGTTTCCCCTGACATTAAGTCCAGTCGTGTCCAACTCTGGGGGTTGGTGCTCATCTTCATTTCTAAGCCAAAGAACCACCGTTGTCCATAGACACCTCCAAGGTCATGTGACTGGCATGACTGCATGGAGCACCGTTGCCTTCCTGCATAAGCGGTACCTATTGATCTATTCACATTTGCATGTTTTTGAACTGCTTAGGTTGGTAGAACCTGGGCCTAAAACAGGAGCTCACCCCGTTCCCCGAATTCGAACTACCAACCTTTCGGTCAGCAAGCTCAGCGGTTTAACCCACTGCACCACCGGGGGACCCAAAGTTCCAGATTAAAATTAACTCAACAAAGCAGCCAAAGACCTTTTATTGTTAGAGGCCTTTTATTGTTCATCCTGATCAGAGATGGAGACTTGTGGGCTCCTGTCCCAAAGTGCAAGTCCGAACCCATGTGCCCCTACAAGAGGCTAAATAGGGTCTGTTTCATTGTTACAGTTTGAATTGCCCTCCTTCTGTTCTGGTTGGCCAGGAAAAGAGACTGGCCGGGATCCACACTAGGACAGGTCCAGAGTGGAGGCTTTAGAGCCACCCCATGGGAGGGCTTAGCTTGGAAAATTGGGTTGGACCCAGTTTTATATTAAGCAGATGTAGAGTTTGAAAAACAACCAAATAAAAACATTCCAGGCCTTTGTTTCTGACTAGCAGATTTTTCCAGGTAAACTAAAATAAGATAAAATAAAATTTTCTATCCCGTCCTTCTCACCTCCAAAGAGAGACTCAGGATGGCTACCAGCAGACATGGTTCAGTGCCAAACAATACACAGCATAAAATACATTTAATATACATTTAAAACAGTTATAAATACATTAAAACAATTCGCCATTTCATGTCATCCTCCAAGTCAGTCCATAGTCGTCAGTTCAGCTAGTCCAGGGGTCCTCAAACTTTTTAAACAGAGGGCCAGGTCACAGTCCTTCAAACTGTTGGAGGGCCGGATTATAATTTGAAAAAAACATGAATGAATTCCTAAGCACACTGCACATATCTTATTTGTAGTGCAAAAAACACTTGAAAGCAATACAATAATTAAAACGAAGAACAATTTTAACAAATATAAACTTATTAGTATTTTAATTGGAAATGTAGACCTGTTTTTGGCTGATGATATAGGATTGTTGTTGTTGTTGTTGTGTGCTTTCAAGTAGTTTCAGACTTAGGTTTACCCTGAGCGAGGGCCGGGTAAATGACCTTGGAGGGCCGTATCCGGCACCGCGGGCCTTAGTTTGAGGACCCCTGAGCTAGTTTATTGAGGTGACTGCCTTTGTCCAAAGCGAATAGCTCTCTGCCAAGACTCAGGCGGTTTAAAGAAAAAGGAAAAGATATTTTACATTTAAGTATAAGGAAAAGTAAAAATATAGTTTATATATTTTAGATCTGAGAAATGAGTGCAATATATAAAAATTATGTAGAAACAATACATATTAGTTGCTCTCTTGGTTTTTTTCCCTGACTGCCTAGAGATGATATTATATTCTTTATTACTTTCATACAATTCTTGGCCTTATGTCTCTAAGAAATCGAAATGAAAGGCTATTCTTAAAAGTAAGGGAAAATATAAAATATAATGTATAAGTAAAGTGACAAAATATCTAAAAGAAATACTAATGGTCTAGGCCCAGAGGAGAAAAGAAGAAAAAGATGAGACAATAGAAGAAGAAAGATCAACGAGAAAGACAAACGGAATTTTAAAAAATGAAAAAGAACCCAAATTATTTTTGTTTTTCCTAAGCAAAAGACATTGTGAATGGAACTGCTTTAAAAATAAAAATACTAATAACAGTACTCTCCCCTTCCTCATTCTTGGATGTACGTGGATAGACCTAACTTATTAACAAAATTCCATAATCAACTTATACTTTCCCCCTATTCTTATGGTATAAAAGTGTGAAAATGAAATGAAAACAAACTTATCTATCCATCCATCTATCTATTTGCAGAAGGGAAGGAAGTGCATGAGGAATGCAAAGCCTCGCCAAGTAATGCGATTTGTGTTCACGGGCTGTACCAGCGTCCGATCCTACCGGCCCAAGTTCTGTGGCCGCTGCACAGACAGGCGATGCTGCACGCCGCTCACCACCAGCACCACCGAAGTTGAATTCAAGTGTCCAGAAGGGGACTCTTTTGTCCGCAAGATGATGGTCATCAAATCCTGTTCTTGCCACTATGATTGCCCCACAGAAAATGATATCTTCCTGGCAATCTACCGACGGCGAATGATTGGAGACCATGTCAAGCTGGAGAGGCAGTAATAGTAGCCAGAGTATGGAAAAGAGTTACATTTTGGACCACAACATTCAAGACTTCATCCCACTGAACATGTCAAGTCTTTGGAAGAGTAGGTTTACCATACAGCTCAGACATACTCCTTTTTGAAATTAAATGGATGGTTTTCCAACCTCTGTCACACACTAGCAAACTATCCATTTTATTCAAGAATTCTCCATTGATTTGCCATCTTATTGTAGAGAGAGTTGTTCCTGCCCACTCTTCCTGCCCTCATTTTGTTTGAGGAAAGAGCCCCTTTTTCTCCTGGACGATGATTTTTGTTCCTGGGTTATCAATGGCATTTCCTAATTGGTTCTATCATAAACACATGGGAAAAGTTTATGAAACTGCACAAACTTTGTCTTTGCAGGACGAACACCATCCTGCTAGAGCACATTTTGCTCTAGTTTCTCAATGATCCTCCTCTCTCACTCTCTCTCCTTCCATGGGGTTGGAAGAAGGAAGGAAGGAAGGAAGGAAGGAAAGAGAGACAGGAGGAGGAGGTAACACATGGCACACACAACACACAAAAGGAAAGAAGGAGGTAAGGAGAGGAGGAAGTAACACATGGCACACAATACACGGACGGACGGACGGACGGACGGAAGGAAGGAAGGAAGGAAGGAAGGAAGGAAGGAAGGAAGGAGAGAAAGAGAGGAGGAGGAGGTAACACAGGGCACACAACACACAGATGGATGAAAGGAAGGAAGGAGAGGAGAGGAGGAGGTAACACATGGCACACACAACACACGTAAAAGGAAGGAGGGAAAGAAGGAGAAGAGTAGGATGTAGCATGTGGCACACACAACACACGGAAGGAAGGAAGGAAGGAAGGAAGGAAGGAAGGAAGGAAGGAAGGAAGGAAGGAAGGAAGGAGGAAAGAAAGGGAAGGGAACGAGGGAGGGGAGACCCTCAGAAAGTGCACAAGACAGAAACACAGCATACTGCCGATCTTCCCTCCTCCATGAGCAAAAGGTAATGGTGGAGCTTTGTCTCAAAAGGGCTTTTTGGCTCCTCTCACAAATTACAAAACCATATCATTTTAAAACTGAGCGACAAATACCATTCCATGACAGAATTAGCCCTTTTGCCCATCTCAATCTGGATCATTTGCAAAAAAAGTCATTTGCCCACCAGCTTAGAAGCATCTGAAAAGATAACCCTTTGGAACCTTTTTTAAACACCAAGGTATCTCTACCCTACACTTGAAGCCTACATCATGGGATGAACACAATAGGTTGCTGTTTCTTAAGTGGGTGGCTCAGCAGTATTTAATGAATGGGACGAAGTGTCAGAATATCCTGGCCATCATAACCATGACCAATGGCACTGTTGATGGCGTGAATCTCAAAATTATATTTTATATACGTGCAGCCTAGCACCTTATCTCCCCCCACTCTCCTTGTATTCATAGAATCATTGAGTTGGAAAAGACCTCATGGGCCATCCAGTCCAACCCCATTCTGCCAAGAAGCAGGAAAATCGCATTCAAAGCACCCCCATAGAGCCACTTAGCCAAGTGGCTAAGTGGAAGTGGAAGTGAAAGAATCCAGAGATATTCAGGCTGCTGACGTCTTCAGAGAAGCAGATCCTGGAAGAGAAAATGCTTGATTGTAAAAGAATCAAACACTATGCACCATTGGCCCTCCACACTTGCACCGTTGACATTATTGGCCACTGTCTCTTAGGCTGTATAAATTAATCACCTGCCTTTCTCGGTTTTTCTACAAGACTCAGACGCATTGTAAGAGACTGGGGGTGCATCTATATTGTAGGATTGATGCAATTAGATACCACTTTAACTGTTAGTATGTGTTGGGGAATCATCTGAAAATTATCCAGCAATCTGCTTCCATTCAGGCAGGAAGAAGCTCACTTGCTGGGCCTTCCGACCACATGTTAAAGCCCATTATGAGCTTGCCATAAGCCCCAAATGATTTGAAAACATACAACAATGGTTAGAATGTCTGCCAGGACCGCACACTTACCACGTCTCCTCAGCCTATTGCAAATGAAGGTGTGAAGGTTTGTTCATTGGCCCCCATCAGAAATGGTTGAGTAAGCCATTTAAGGGTGTTAATTTCAAGGTGGTACATTATATGAATGGCTGCAAGTCTGTTGTATTGGGGGGGGGGGGGGATCCTCACATGCCAACAAAAGAAGAATGGTTTGAAAAGGTTTTTCAAAATCCTGGAAATTGGCAAATTATATAATTTGATTAAAGTGAAGTCATTGGATGGTTTTCTAAAAGACTAGGAATAGCTTTCTGTAAAGAAGAAAGGAGAGAAGATTCCCGCTTACAGAATTTAAGGACTGAAGTCTTTCTCATTGGATGTGAAGGCAGGAGATCTCAATTTAGTTCAGCAGTAGAAGGACGTTGTGTGCTGTAATTATAATGCTGTCTTTGGTCTGGAGGGCAGGAAGTCAATTTTTGTATGTCTTTCACGTGGCGGAGGGGGTGGAAGGCTGAGGATAGTTATTTGGAGTACTTAGGGGATTTTGTAATGCGTTGTTAGTGTTAGGGATGTTTTTTTTTGTAATGTACTGTGAGTGCTCGTGTGATCGTGTCTTGCTGTGTTGTTTGTATACCAAGATGGTTCCTTAAAAAGAAAGAAACCGTGCTTGATGCTGAGCTACAAATAACCACGGAACAGATGTGCAAAGCAGCAGCTGGTTTTGTGGCCTGAATGCAAGAGGGGCTTTAGGGAAGCTTAGCGGCTTATAGCTTTGGCTCAACAACACATCCTTCCAGGAGTTTGTCCCCATTGCCTGATCATTATGGGATAAAAGATGTGTCCCTTTGGCTGGGCAAGTTGCAGAGAAATGTCTGCTGAGAGATATACAGGTCTGGAGTCTGCACAGCAAAAGCATCTCTCCTTTTGTCCAGGATCCAGGCTGGTTGCAATAGTTTATCAAGGAATAATATTACCTGGTGTAGCAATGCACTTTGAGTGGAGATGGTTATCCTGAGTGTTCCTCACAGACATCTTCCCAAGAAGAGGCAAAAAACCAGGCAGCATGCAAAACTGGTTCTAGGAAGTCAATAACGAAATCCCAATATTTATGGAAATTTGAGTCCCAGTATTTGTGGCCACTTTGTCACACTTTGTCTCCCTTCAGACCTATGAGGAGAGAAAAAGCATGCAGAAAAGGCAAGGAGAGGTGGGTCTATGGTCAGGAGTCTCCAGAAATAAGCTAGAGCACAAGCCTCCGGAAGCACCTCACAATGGCAAATCTTGGTGCCAATCTTGTTGTATTAGGTGGAGGTGCAGCCCCATCTCCAAAGTCTAATGTCTGGGATCAGATTGTATTAGTTGGCAATCACAGAAGAGGCAACTGAGTTCTGACCCATGAAATGTGCTGTTCAACACTAAGGGATTGCTCTCTGTAGAGATCTAGGACAGACACACACATGCCTGGCCCCACAGCCTCCTTTCCCTTCCACTTCTGCCCTGAAAAATTCCTGGACACATTTTTGCTCCCCTTTAAGAGAGAAATTGGGCACTAGGGGCTCATGTCAACTTCACTAACGAAATAAATAAAAATCAAGGAGTGAAAGCTTAAGAACAGGGGTCCTCAAACTTTTTAAACAGAGGGCCAGGTCAGAGTCTCTCAAACGAATGGAGGGCCAGATTATAATTTGAAAAAAAAAATGAATTAATTCCTATGCACGCTGCACATATCTTATTTGAAGTGCCCAAAAACCCCCACTTAAAAACAATACAACAATTAAAATGAAGAACAATTTTAACAAATATAAACTTATTGGTATTTCAGTGGGAAGTGTGGGCCTGCTTTTGGCTGATGAGATAGGATTGTTGTTGTTGTGGTGTGCTTTCAAATCGCTTCAAACTTAGGTTGATCCTGAGTGAGGCCTGCATCAATAGGAGCATAGTGTCTAGATCTAGGGAAGTAATCCTACTCCTCTATTCTGCTTTGGTTAGACCACACCTGGAATATTGTGTCCAATTCTGGGCACCACAAATCAACAGAGATATTGACAAGCTGGAATGTGTCCAGAGGAGGGCAACTAAAATGATCAAGGGTCTGGAGAACAAGCCCTATGAGGAGCGGCTTAAGGAACTGGGCATGTTTAGCCTGAAGAAGAGAAGGCTGAGAGGAGATATGATAGCCATGTATAAATATGTGAAAGGAAGTCACAGGAAGGAGAGAGCAAGCTTGTTTTCTGCTGCCCTAGAGACTAGGAAGCAGAGCAAAGGAGATTCAATCTGAACATGAGGAAGAACTTCCTGACTGTGAGAGCCATTCAGCAGTGGAACTCTCTGCCCCAGAGTGTGGTGGAGGCTCCATCTTTGGAAGCTTTTAAACAGAGGCTGGATGGCCATCTGTCAGGGGTGATTTGAATGCAATATTCCTGCTTCTTGGCAGAGGGTTGGACTGGATGGCCCATAAGGTCTCTTCCAACTCTTTGATTCTTTGATTCTATGAGGGCCAGGTAAATGACCTTGGAGGGCTGTATCTGGCCCCCGGGCCTTAGTTTGAGGACCCCTGCTTAAGAACAAGGCCTACAGTCTCATCCACTTATGAGGAACTAAGTCACACTGAATTCTGTGAGACTTACTTCAATGTGCAGCTATAGTTAACTGTTGGCCCCTGTTCTGCACTCCGTTTTTTTTGGGGGGGGGTGTACAATTTGGAACAGCAGCATCAAAATCTAGATCTAGCCACCTTTCATTTCCCACCAAACCTAGAGCTATAGACACACACATAAACTGTAAAAACTAAATACATAGAGACACAAGATATCTCATGGAAACCTTTTTGAAGTGAATTCAGCTAGGACCACAGAAAAGGTTTGTGCTCAGCAAGTCTTCACTGAACCAGATCAGCCAGAACAGAGTACAAGCATAGCCAACACACTAACGTGTTGTGACACCTGGGTTGGTTTATTATGATTTGGCCAAATAGGATGCAAGTACAAGCAACTGGTTTCAAAAGATAAATTCTTAGAAAAATACAAGACATCTTATACAGTTCTGACAGCTATTCAGACTTCTTGTTCCCTCCCCTGATTGGCAGGAAAAGAGGACCGCACCCGGATTGATTGACATCATAGTCAACAGATGGAGATTCTCATGGCAAGAAAGAAGACAGCTGGTGCTTGGCCCGTTTAAAGAACCTGTCTCTTGTAGAGGGTGCAATCCAGTAAATGATGACGTGGGTATGTGGATGAATCTCTGAGTAACTCAAATACCCAGTTGTGTGTGAGACAAAGGGTTCAAGACTCAAAATACAATGGTGATGATCACAGACAATCAAGGGTTATGCTATTCCCATTGAGACTTA